AAGTATCATCGTTACATCAGATCGCTATTTGGCTGGAACGAAGCGCGACAAGCAATACATCCTAACGTCGGATAGTGAGGAAGATATTGCTGCTTGGCGTCACGCAATCAGTTTGCAGATTGCCGACTGCGGTCCGTTGAATATGTTTGCTACAGAAAGACGTTTAGAGGCTTTACATTTTAAAAAATGCCATTGAAAACTTATTAACAAATTAAGGTGTTATAAGAAATCCACAAACACACACACATCAAAAATCCACAAACACACACATCGACAACCTCTCGACAACATTTATTTACATAAATATGCAAAAACGCATAAAAACGAACACGTTAACACCTTAATCCAGGCTGGAACGCACCAAGCGAGTCGGTGCGATCATGCGTTTTTGCATCAAACTTCGAAATGCCTTCTCTCCTAGAGGGGGAATGGGGAAGGAAGAAGGGGATTCCACATTATGCCACCATTCAGCTGAAGACGGGTTTTTGAGAAAGTGAACGTCTAAGTGCGCAAACCCTCTGTCGGAGACATAGGTGGATCCAAGGGGCGGCGGTGGGTCTTCCACTCCTTCCTCCCGTCCGGGCGGCACAGGCACCAGTGCTGCAAAAGTCCGGGTCCAAAACTAAAACTAAAATCCAGGTCCAACATCTGAATTGCCGCCGTTCCATGTTAAGTTGTACAGCGGCCCAGTTGCACAGGGACCCGGTCGCGTTCTTATGGTTTCTATTGTTCTATGGTGCGTCGATGCCACGTGCCTTTTCTTCATGTTTTTTATCTTGCTATGTTGGTGAAGGGGGTTGGGGGAAGTTCGTGCGTCTTGTGTTTATTTCTAGGAGCGTGACTGAATTTGGGTTGAGTGGGAGATATGTCATATAGCAAATTCACGTTACGATTGCGGTTCAGGTTGAAAATATGCAAATTTTCAGTTCATTAAAAAATTGAAAGCATTGATTGAGCGGTCGTTTTCTAAAAATTCCATGTTCATTTGCATATACAATTGCGGTTCAGGTCCGAGCTGCTAACGATTTTTGGGTTCAGGAACTGCCTGGGGCTGCGATTGGGGAGCGGAGGGCTGAATTTAAAATTTTTGTCTCGCATGTGCATAGAGAATATGCCTACAAAGTTTCTGCCTTCTACGTCGCCTGGTTCGCAAAATCGTTTTCTGCCAGCAAAATTCCTTGGAGGTCTCGTACGCGGGGCTTAGGCACGTATGGGGT